TATTTGTTAGACTTATTTATTTTGATGATTTATTTAATTATGTTTTTAATTTATTTGGAAGAGAAAAATAGAATCAAAATTTATTTTGTCCCATTATTTCTCACCTAAACTTTTATCCTAAATGTCGTTAGAATGTATTTAATAATTGATTAAATCAGGAGTTCAAATAGCCCAAAACAAATGCTCAAACAGCCTACCACAGCAGCAGTTCAAAAGGTTCAAAAGGTTCAAGTGGAAGATATTCAAATTAGTAATAATGGAGTGGAAGATATTCAAATTAGTAATTGTTAGTTGTATATTATTATGCTTATCTATTTGTATTGTAGATATATCTCTATCTATACTTATCACATTCATGCTCTTCAATTGAACCTTATCTCTGTTGGTCAGTTATGTGAACTTGGTCTAACCGTTACATTTTCTGCTAATGGTTGTTTGGTGCAGGACCCTCAGACGAGACAGATCCTTGGAATAGGCCGTAAGCACGGACATCTGTTCGAGCTTCTACATCTTCGCATTCCACATAAAGCATCTACTGCTGCATCCGTTGCTTCCTCTGCTGTATCTAATATGTTATCTACTATGTCTTATTTTCATCTTTGGCATTGTTGCTTAGGACATGTCTCTTTTAGTCGTTTGAAACCTTTGGTTTCTAGTGGTCAGTTAGGTCGTGTCCGTCTTGAAGATGTCGATTGTTTATCTTGTCAAATTGCTAAACAACTTGCTTTAACTTTTAATCAAAGTACTTCTATTTCTAGTGCTCCTTTTGATCTTGTACATTCTGATATTTGGGGACCTTCCCCCACACCAACCATGGGGGGGTCAAGATACTTTGTGATTTTTGTTGATGATTTTTCTTGCTATACTTACCTTTTTCTTCTTAAAAATCGCTCTGAACTTAAGTAGATTTATTATGATTTCTTTGCTATAGTTCGCACTCAGTTTTCTCGTACTATTAAAATTTTTCGTTCTAATAATGCTAAAGAGTACTTGGATTCTGATTTTCTTTCTTTTCTTTGAGCTCATGGTACATTATCTCATCGATCTTGTATAGGCACATCCCAACAAAATGGCCAAGTCGAACGGAAGCACCGTTATATTCTAGACACTACCCGGGCTCTTCTCATCTCCTTTTCTTGTCCTAAAAAATTTTGGGGGGAAGCTGCCCTCACTGCCATTCACACCATAACCCTACACTTGTCATCGCTAACACTTCTCCTTACGAGCACTTGTCAGGTTCTCCTTCTGACTATACCACTCTTAAAGTTTTTGGTTCTGCTTGTTTTGTTCTACTCCAATCTCATGAACACACTAAACTAGAACCTCGTTCTCGTCTTTGCTGTTTTTTAGGATATGGTATAGAACATAAAGGGTATCGTTGTTGGGATCCTATCTCCAAGCGCCTTCGTATTTCCCGTCATGTGGTCTTCTGGGAACACAAAATGTTCTCCAATCTTTCCAAGTTTCAACTACCACAGTTCACTCACTCACCAGCCTTTACCGATATTTCTATAAACGTGTTTTCTAATGAATTTGATGCAGATTCTGGCTCCATGCTTCCACAGTCGCCTATGCCTATCGTCCATCCTGAGGATCCCGTGTCTGCTGACAGTCCTACGCCTTCTCCAGCTCTTGTGGAGGTTTCTCCATCTCCACCTCCCATTGAGGTTCCTCCTCCACCAGAGCGTCACTCTACATGGGTAAGGCAGCCTTCTGTTCTTCTCCGTGATTACATTGTTGGTTCCACTGCCTTTTCCTCCCATGAACCTACTTCTTATTGAGAAGCTTGTTCTAACTCTCTTTGGCAACAAGCTATGACTGATGAACTGCAGGCTTTCGATAAAACTCATACCAGGGATGTGGTTGATCTTCCTCTTGGAAAGAGTACTGTTACTTGCAAATGGGTTTACAAGCTCAAAACTCATTCTGATGATTCCATTGAGCGTTACAAAGCTCGCCTTGTAGCCCGGGGATTTACTCAAGAATATGGGATTGACTATGAGGAAACATTTGCTCCTATTGCTCGTTTTACTTCAATTCGCAGCTTACTGGCAGTTGCTGCTGCTTGCCACTGGAGTTTTTTTTAGATGGATGTCAAGAATGCATTTCTTAATAGTGACCTCACTGAGGAAGTTTATATGCACCCTCCTTCGGGTTCTTCTGTTCCATCAAACAAAGCTTGCAAACTTCGCCATGCTTTGCATGGTTTGAAACAAGCTCCGCATGCCTAGTTTACTAAGTTCAGCTCCACCATTCGTGACTTCGTTTTTCCTCCAGTGCCCATGATTCTGCCTTGTTTATACTTAAGACATAGCGTGGTACTATTTTCCTTCTCCTCTATATGAATGATACGATTATCACTGAAGATGACACAGTGGGCTTTTCTAGTCTCAAACAATTTCTTAATCGCCAATTTGAGGTGAGAGATTTAGGTTTGCTTAGTTACTTCCTTGGCTTGGAAATTTCTCAAGATTCCTCTGGTTATTTTCTTACTTAGGCCAAGTGTACTTCTGATCTCTTGGCTCGTGCTGGTCTTACCGATTGCAAGACTCCACTACTCCGGTTGATCCTCAGACTCGTCTTACCCCCCTTGACGGTTTCCTACTGACTGATGACACTTTATATCGTCAACTAGTTGGCAGTCTTGTCTATCTCACGGTTACTCGTCCAGATATTGCTTATGTTGTTCACATTGTTCGTCAGTTCATGGCTGCTCCTTGTTTTCCACACTATGATGTTCTGGTTCGCATTTTGCGCTATCTCAAAGGAACTCTATTTCATGGTCTTCACTACTCCCCCCACTCTTCTCTACAACTGCATGCATTTTCTGATACAGATTGGGCCGGGGATCCTACTGACCATCGTTCCACTATTAGGTTCTGTTTTTTCTTGGGAAACTCTCTCATTTCCTGGCATAGCAAGAAGCAAACTCTTGTTGCTCGTTCTAGTACCGAGGCTGAGTATCATGCTCTTGCTGACACTACTTAAGAGCTTGTGTGGTTTTGTTGGCTTCTTTCTGACATGGGAGTTTCTCATTCCACAGCCACCAATCTGTATTGTGACAATCACAGAGCTATTCAGATTGCACATAACGATGTCTTCCATGATCGCATCAAGCATATTGAGATTGATTGTCATTTCATACGCCAGCATGTTACTAGTGGCCTTGTTTGTCTTCTCTTTGTTACCTCTGTTGATCAACCTGGCGACCTCTTTACCAAAGCTCATCTTCCAGGTCGCTTCTCTGATCTCCTCTCCAAGCTCAAGTTGATATCTGCCTTATCACCTTGAGCTTGAGGGGGGTGTTAGCTGTATATTATTTTACTTATCTCAATTTCATTGTATCTCTATCTTCTTATGTACCTATCTAGGTTTCTTATAAGCCTATATATACAAGCTTCTGCTATTGTATTATTCATTCAATTCAATATATCAGAATTACTCTCATAACACAACTTCATATAAAATTTTTATGTAGTTTTTTAATATAACTATGGGAAGGGGTAGGGAGGTTGTTTTTTTTTTGAGGGGCTTGTCCCCTCAAAGTTTCCCACAACCTTATATATATTGTGTGCAAGTTTAGTGAAGTTTACACAACTTATTTACACTTAGCCTTCTCAATTTTCTTATATTTTTATTCATATATCATATTAAAATACACCTCTCAAAATATTTTTTTCTTAAAATAATAAAGTATTTTCTCTTTCTTAAATATTAAAATATTATAAATTACTATGGTGAGAAAAGTTATAAACTATTGGATTTTTATTGTTGTGAATTATTGTAATACAGTTTAAAAAAAATATACAATATACACATTTGGCATAATGTGATATGTAATTTATTACCATTCATATATTTTGATGCATTATTGAAGTTCAAGATCCTGGAATATATTTACATTTGGAAAATGCTAGAGGTCCCAAATTTTCTACTAAATAAATGACCAAATGTCTCACATGGGTGTGGGGCCCACAAAATTGCGAACCCCACACCCATGTGAGACATTTAGTCATTTGTTTGGTAGAAAATTTGGTGTCCCTAGCATTACCCTTTACATTTTTCTCATTATTGGTAGGTTATTTACTAAGCAACATGTGTTTGGTAACGTTTATATTTTCAGTTTATATTTACAAAAATTTTATAAACTGGTTTTTGTTTATTTTTATAAAAACATAAACTACAAACGCGTTTGGTAATTGACAAAATGTTTAAAAAAAGAAATATCCTCTACAGTAGGCGCATCGAGAGTTAATGGTCTTGTTTGGTGTACCTGTTAAAACAGATTATAGATCATAACTTAACAGATTATATGTTATGACTTTAATCAGAAGCTATTAATTTGTTTGATATAACTGTTGGATTATAAATTTAAGTTGCTGAGTAGTGTTTGTTAAATAAACTGTGAAGTAGTTTTTTCAATTAATTTTTATTTTTTATTATTCACTATTTGTCTACATTTCTCATAAAAATTAATAATAATTTTATAGTCCATTTGGGTCTTTCTCTATTTTTAAAAAAATAAAAAATAAAAAAATCTAAGAGTATAACCGTGAGTTAACATGTCCATAGCAGAAGCTCATAATCAGAATTAAGGAGTGAGCAGCTTCTCAGAACCAGTTTTTTTGACTTAAAATAAGTTGTTAGAATCAAAAGTTGTTTGAAATAAGTTTAACCAAACAGTCCAAAATAAATTTTCAAAAGTCAAAAGCTATAAATTGGCTCAAAAAAGTCCCACCAAACACCTCTAAAAATGTCCTTGGTGTTGGAACTGAAGTGAGAAGGTGCGAGTGACCTTTAATGTTAACAGCAATACTAGGTATCATGAAAAGTCTTTCATGAAAATCATCATGAAAGATTTTGTGACCTTTGGACTACACTTGCAATAAAGCACCTCACACTAATCAAGGTAATTTAAGAATCACAAATCTTTTTTGATCATTTTCATGAAAAAATTTTCACTAACATTTCTCTAATGTTAGAGGTGATCCCACATTTTACACTCGAATACTCATCAAAAGGACGGATGCAATTCATATGAAGAGATTGATCGCAATCGCCACAATGATAGAACCAATATTTTGGGTCTATGTCTTCCTCGCAGATTTCACATATATACTCCTCATTGTCATTTGTTTGGTCTTTGACAGGAGAGGAGTAGGTTAGGGCGAATGGATGTTCATTGTATCTGTGCCTAACCGTACGTGTCATAAGAACACACCTTTGACATACATTGAAATTGCAAGTTTCACATAAAAACCTAAACTCAGTAGAAACATCACATGCATTGCAACCAAATCCTGTTGGCCTTAGAGCAAGGGTGTGATTGTGAGCTTCATGTCTGATAGTGTGCGGAAGGGATGCACACCCAATATCAAGGAAGAAGTCGCATTCAGAACAACCGAATTTAAACAAATTGCAATATATGCTGCAACATAGACAAAGATATGGATGAAAATTTGTGGTCAAGCAAAGTGGGTGCTGTGGGTGACATGGGTGGTGAGGTGTACTGGGTAACTCTGCACAACACTCATGGAGTAAAAAGTTGCATTGAACACAATGGTAAAATGGGCCCGAGCATTTTTCTTCTTTCTCTACCTCATTCAAGAGGGGTAAGTTGCTCTCAGAGTGTGACTCTGGTCTATTTGTTTGTTAGAAAAATATAAAGTGTGTTCATGACTAAAATGTCTAATATCTGTTGCTTCTTTACACTTCCCCACTACTTTGATGTGATTGACAAATAGAGTTCTCAGATCAACAGACTCATCGGCTGGCAAGGTGATCCGATTTTCAACTTCAATCTCTGCATCGCAATCCCTGAAACCAAAAAAACATGAATAGTTTGTAATCAAAGTAAATCACTAACCCAAAACAAAAAAATAAGAGTCAAACAGGAAAATATCAACTTGGATAGCTCAGTATTTGATGTTGCTCTTCCCGAATTAAGCTTGATCTTATGTTCAGTCTCTACTTTGCAATCCCTGAAACCACATATCCAAGGTTGGAGCGTTATCAAAAGATATAATAATAATCAAATCAAATCAAATTATTCACAGAAAGTTAAAAGAAAAATGTTGCAAGGCAGAAGGGTCAACGACGTGCTTGGAATGCTCCATCTTTGATGCCGCGCAGTTTACATGGACAAAATATGTGCATTTGGAGTCGGAACAATAATAAAGCCAATTTCTTCTGCACAATTGCTTGTTACAGATTCTGCAGACATCGTGTCTATGTGTATTATGTGTATATGGAATAGAATAGATGAGGGTGAGAGGGTGTGGATGGTGATGATCACCAAGTTTAATGGTGCTAGGTAATGAATTAGCACATTTCTGGCTGACCCAGAATCCACAGGTGGTACATAAGTAGGAGGTGCCTCCGTGTTCTTCACCGCAAGCATCACAAAAGAACGTGGCTGACTTTTCCAAGGGGATCAACTGATGTGGGTGACATTTGAGCTCAATCCTCTGTTGAATATTGGACACCACCAAAGCACACCTTATGTCGACATCGAACTTGCATTGAAAGCAATTGTAAACGAATCGGTTGCAATCTTTTCTACAAACATCGCACGTGCAAGAATAAGGTGGCTTTGAAAGGAGAGTAAGGGGGTGTTCAGGGTGAGCAGGATGATATGTCATTTCCCGGGGTAGTTCTGCACATGATTTGTGCAAGAAAAACTCGCATTTGGTGCAACCATAGGATAGACCTGAGATGGGTTGCCGACACCCGTAGCAATGAACTTTCACACCTTCCTCCATGTAGTCTGTCCTTAGGATCAATGGATGGTCATGACTGAAGTGTTCAAGCGCCATATATATCTCTCTCTCTCTCTCTCTCTCTTCTTGATGGTAAATCTTGAAAATGTTCTAGGCAAGAACTCGATAATATAATAACCCTAAAGTAAGAAAAGTATCCGTTCTATTAATAATTACAATAAAGCTACGCTTCATGAAGAAGCCTTCGTGAAAACATATTTGGGCGAAGCTACTGTTCATATATATATATATATATTTATTTAAAAAAAATATTTTCACCCCAAAAAAGAGGAACCATATGAAACTAACTAGTGTTATTTATTATTGTTTTTGCCAAATTAGTTTTCAAATTATTTTTTAGAAAACATATTATAAAATTTGAATCAAACAAAGAAATGTAGGAGTGTATATAAAACTGATCGTGCCACAAGGGTGAGATGATGAAGTAAGGCGTTTGTTTGGAAGAATTGGAAGGTGGCTATGAAGTATGGATATTTTGACAAATATGGCGTTCCCATATCAAGTATTTATCGGCGTATAGTATTTCGTATGGCACTTCTACATATGTATTGGATATACAAAACATGCACCTGTTTTTTTTTTCCCCTCCTAATTTTTGGTGTACCGAGATGAATCTAGTATAAACCCAAGCCATATTGTACCTCACCTCAATCGAAACAATATTTTCTTCTGTTACAGAGATAAAATTCATTTCATTAGATTTTTTATTTTTATTTTTAGTTCTATACTTAGAATGATTTTAAAATTAAGTTATGATTTGTAAGTTATTTAATATAATGACATTTAATTTTGTCTTATAGGCATCAAATGTCAGTTGTAAGTTGGATCTTAATAAATTAAAATATTTAATCAATTTTTGCATTATTTCAAATTAATTTTTTTTTTACAAACATATCAAGCCATACTCGTACCCTACTTTTTTTAGATTTTACTGTATCGACATACCCATATCTTGCCATGATTCCAGATCTTTTGCCATGGTTTCCTACCATGATTCCTGCGATGCTCGCCAAAACGATGTCATTTTGTTTAGTTTTTTTTTTCTTTTTCCTTCAAAATTTTCGTCCCCCCCTCTTTTTCTCTTCTCTACCATTTGTTTTGTTCCCAACCTAACATAAACATAGAGACAAACAAAGATAGAGACAAACTAAGAGATGAAAGTAAATGTGGAGGGATGCGATAGTGAACGAGAAACGTAGAGGATGGCGGGTGACGGTGAGTCCGGTGGTGACGCAATGGCAGCAAGGTGAGATTGCAGCGACGATGAGGTCCTTTTCATCATCATTCTCATTTGTTGCAATTATATATATATATATGATTTCTTTGGTTAGAGTGGTGGGATTGGAGTGTTAGTGAGGTTGGACTTCTCAAAACATGTTTGGTTGAGAAAATTTATGAGTGGATTATTTTGTCCACCTGGATTGGCAATCCCATTGCACTGCCTGATTAACAAAGGTGAAGAGGGTATGGGATTAAAGATATAGTGAGGGGATTAAGTGTATCCGGTCGTCTGCTTAGACGTCCAGCCAGTCGTCCGACCGATTGACCAGAAGAGTGTTATTTTTTTTTTACCCAAGTGCAGCCTTCAGAAATAAATAGATATCGGTAGCAAAGATTGTACCAGATGCAAGCAATCAGATAGATGGAGTCACGTCGCCTTATCTTGCCTCGTTGCCAAAGTTGCCTCGCTGTCGAAGTTGTAACTCGACTTTCTTCGTGCCCCCTTTCGGAGAGCTCAAATTGGTCCTACAGTTTGGACTCCTGTTACTATTCTGAATCTAGTCTCACAAATGCAATGTAAAATTGATAAACATCAAAGAGTCGAATCCGACAAATCATTTTGGAAAATCGATTTTGAATCAAATAATGCCAAAACTGGACTGCTTTGCCAGATTACAGAGTCGCCACCTAAATATTTTATTTTTGGAAAATTTAGGAAATCCTGACTCGTGCCAAAGGCCACATGTTCGTCATAACCAAAGTTGCCTTGGCTCGGAAACTTGAGTACGACGGGGGAAGGTCATGAATTGAGCACTCTCACTCGCCCGATCAAAGATTGGCCTCTACTATCATGATATGTTGTGTTATAAACACATGTGTTCTTATTCCGGTTATTAGCTAACTTTACTACGTGACGCACATAAGCAAGTATAGACTAAAATCGCAAGAATTGGAACGAATTCAACTCATGTTTGGTTTTGAAAATGGTTTGAATTTGCCACCCTCAAGTGGGCTTAAATACTGATTTGCCATCAAACATGATGGGCTTAAAACATGATTTGCCACTTCGCAAAGTGGGCTTAAAACTCACACTCATTGAATTGTTCCAATTCAAACAATCAAGCCTTCATCTACAGGCAATCATGCAGTTTAGCAATTAAGCACATAGCTTCATGGTAAGCATGCGAAACATGTCATTTATGGCTATTACACTCATGCAATATGCTAAAGCGTAAAATCTTACCGAGTACTTCAAGCCAAAATAAAAGCTAGTTAGAAACAATACATGATCCTAACTATACAAGATGCCTAATGCAACACATGTAATAATGCAATTAATAGGCTCGGCTACTAATATGGCCTGTGATACAATTTGATAACATGCTTTGAAACACGTATTCAAATAAGTGTATGAAATTCAATGTAGTTTGAATGATGCGCCGAGGCTCGGTGCATGCAAGGCAAATGAATGATGCAAACATACAAGCATAAGGTATGCTAATCCAAACGTGTCCCTAATCTAACCATCGAAAGCGATTAAATAAAAGGGAGAAAGACGTGGGGTTGGAAGACATGCATACACACATGCACACTTATTACAATATTGCGCCCTCGCGAAGGAGGGTCCGACTGAATAAGCTAAGCTACACTAAGCTAAGCTAATCAAACTAATCTGATTAAGCTAATTAAACTAATTATTACAAGCCAAACGAATAACTAGTAAACTAATTACTAATTATTACAACCCTTCAACTAATTAGCAAACTAGTTAAGCAAATGTATACTAACTAATCATGCAAGATATTTAAACTACACTGCCTCAGCTCTGCCTCGGGAAATAGAGGATGCATGCGCTCGGTTTTCGACCTGAAAAGCCCTCCGGTTTGCTCTTGAGAAGCTCTGTTTGCAGGGTTGATCATACTGCAGAACCTTTCTGCTCCACCTTACCAAATCAATGCTGAGGATTGCATCAGTGGCCTGCCGGCCATGAATGCTTGCTGCCGACCATCTGCCGGCCAAAAGTGTGCCCTGCCGGCCACCAATGAGGCACTGCCGGCCACTGGTGCTCTGAGTCACCACACTGCAGCAGAGCATAAACAGAGGAAAATAGAGGGTTTTTCAAGAGTATGTTTGTACTGTACTCCTCCTTATCATCTCAAAGCATCAAAGGAGTGGCACTCTTGGATCCAAAACTACCAATCAAGCAATTTCATTGCATGATGGCCAAAGATCCAAGTTGTACAATTTCATTGTATGCACAAAACAAGACTTTAGACCACTACCTTGTCATGAATGATCAAAGGCAATGAGGACAAAGGAGATTTGCTCATTTCATCTCTTTGAGTATGAAATGCTCCAATCTTCCTTGTGTTCAATATAACGTCCGATTGAACACATACAATGCAAACACAACATGCTTATCATGTTCATGTTTTACTTGTCCAATTTTGTTTACACATTTTACATTACCAAACCATTCTTTAACCGGTTAGTTCAAGGTGAGTGTCCTCTAATGAGAGAGGGGTCAACCAAGGGATGACTTAAGGCATGAGAGAGATCATGCCGTTAGTTAGTTGAAACCCTTAAAAGAGGATTAAAACCATTAAGCACAAGTCTCAATCTCAAGCTTAAACACAACCCCAAGGCTAACCAAACCTCAAAGCAAATGAAAAAGTGAAAAAATGAGGGAGGTTGCAGAGATTTCAGTGCTGGAATTGCATGCAAAATGATACTACAACATGTAAGCAACTCATGCAAAACATGTTTAAAAGCCAAAAACACTAAACTAGTAAAGATCACTACACTATAAGCATGCAATAGAAAGCTCACAAGGTACAAACACTTCAAAACAATCCTAAAACAACTTAAAAGGAGTTCTAAAACATGCTGGAAGTAAGCTAAAAAAAAGCTAGAATAGGAGGCTAAAACATAGCACAAACTAGACTATCAAGCACAATTGCACTACAAGCAGACAAAGCAAGCCTTAAGTGACTTAACGAGCCCCAAATAGAGGTAAAACAAGTCAAAATAGCAGCAAAAACATGCTGAGATCAAGTCACAAAATGCTAGAAAAATATGGTCACATGTTAAGCTATCTACACATGTAAGCAAGACACAAGGAGGGGAGGCTACTCCCTCCCATTTTGGACCTCAAAACATAATTTTTAACACTGAAAATCCCCTAGAATTTAGTGGCAAAAAGACCAAAAAGTTTAATTTAAAGAACTTTGAAAGATGGCACAACAACTTAGCAAGCAAGCTACAAGAAGAGTAGACTACCCCTAACTCCAAACAAACCTCAAACCACTATTTTAGACCATAAAAACAAAGACTTTCAGAGCTCAAAACCAGCCTCAAAACAGCATGCAAAGATAACAAAAACATGTATTTAAATTAGGCTTAAAACACAAGTGTTCTACCTTTTGAAGACAAGATACACTTTAGGCACCAAAATCAAGCCAAACCAAGCCAAAATCCTCTTCTAAAGCTCAAATAGGACCTCAAGAAACCTTAACTCAATGGTGATCAAGTTTCATCAAGGGCTTATATGCAAGAGTGTAGAGAATTTAGGCTATAAGGCACAAAATATTTAGAGAGAGGATTCTAGAGAGAGAGAGAGAGAAATTTTTTTGTCTTCAAAATTTTCAACCCCCACACATGCAAGAGGGGGCCTTTATATTTAGAAGATACAAAATACCCTCAAAGAGATCCAGCCATACACGTGCAAGCAGATAGCTCAATCTGTGTAAACATTTGGCACAAAATATCAGAAAATATCTACTGATACATTGGTGGCTAGCGACCATCAGTGATGGCCGGCAGGGGCTTATTGACGGCCGGCATGGCACATCAATGGCCGGCAAGGCAAAAGCCATGGCCGGCAATGCCCAAGGATGGCT